CATACACACACGCTCACCCTTGATGTCCTTGTCGAGAGGGGAGCTGGAGGCCATGGACGGGGAAATGTTGACCTCAATCAAGTATGGCTTGAGATTGCTGGCAAGCATGATGTCAAACCCAAACAGCTCGTGGCTGCAGGAACAGAAAGGGGGGGGGCATTGTGTAAGAGAGAAAGAAATAAGCAATCGCACACACACACACACACACACACACACACACACACACACACACACACACACACACACACACACACACACGAACGCACACGCATACACACACACATGAACGCACGCACACACGCACGCACACGCACACACACGCAACCACACACACGTACACACGCATCGAACGCAACACGCACCACACGCGTCGGCTCTTGCAGTTGAATTTGACAGCACTGTTGATGACGCTGTCCACACTCAACAGCGTCTAAATTGCGGTGCAGAACGAACGCACAGCATTCCCGCGCACGTGCAGTCATCCGACGTGAGCAACACGTCCCAAACGATGATGCAATTAGCACTCCTCTACCTGTCATCCCTCACCGGTAACATCCCCTCCCTGCCCTTGTCCTCCCCCCCCCACACACACACACCTTGATGACGATATCGCAGATGTTGTCCCAGACTTGGTCCGTGTCCACGCCATCGTGCTCGCGCATGTATTTCCACAGCGCCTGCAGTCCCCACTTGTGGCCCTGACACACACCAACGTCGTCGTTCTGCACAAACTTGCTGCTCTTCTTGTTGATGCTGCACATACACGTGTGCATGCACGCGTAGTTGGATACAAGGTGAGACAACAAATCAATCCACGACCAGGCCTCGGTGAAAACAACAACCGCAACCGCAACCACACATCTACACAACAACAAAGCACCACAACAGCCAGCGCAGCCTCTCTCCCGTCACACACCCATCCTAACCCCACCCCCAATCACACACACACACACACACACACACACACACACACACACACACACACACACACACACACACACACACACACCTGTAGTTTGTCAGGTGCATGTAGCGGTTGCGGAGTTTCGACTTTTTGTTGGAGTACTTCTGCGTCGCAAATCGCGCCAGCCCCTCTCTGAACCGGCGGCGCATGATGTGTGGTGGCAGCGGTGAGAAGGGCTGATAGCGGTGGCAATGCCACTCAACACGGTGTGTGCGCACGCACGCTCGAAGATGGCATGGATGATAAATGCATCGCAACACACAATACAACCCTCAACACAGCATTCATGCACGCACATCACAACCAAACAAAACCAAAACAGGAAGCAGGCGTTACAAACGACTACAGCGACATCTTCCAAAGATACAACACAACGTGTACACACACACATTCAAACAAACAAATAAACAAACACACACACATACATTCAAACAAACACACACACACACAAGTTCATACGCACACAACGCACCTGCAGATGTAGACCTTGAGGGGATCAAAGCTGGAGACGTACACATACACACGCAGGTCGAACTTTGCGTCGTTGATGAGGTATGGCTTGGAGAGATAGCGCTGCACGAGGTAGTTCTTGCGCTTGGGGACCTGCGACCACTGGTAGATGACGCGGATGCCAATGCCGCGCGCAGACGCATTCTGAACAGCAGCACACGAAAGCACGTTGACGTGAGCGGATGCACATGGACACAGGCGTGCCTGCAGATGTGGTGCACATGCACACACAAAATGTACATTCCTTCAACCTTACACCCCCACCCACCTACACACACACACACACACACCCACACCCACACCCACCCACACACACCCACACACACACCCACACACACACTGTCTCACCGGCTTGAGGATCCACTTCCAGCACTGCCGGCAGCGTCCCAGGCGCGCTTCAGCAGCTGCATGTCGCCAGGGAGACAATACGTGTCTGGTACGAAATCAAAGTGC